TTTTTATGACTTTATGACTTTTTATGACTTTTTAAGATTTTTTAAGACTTTTTAAAGACTTTTTAAGACTTGACTTTTTAAGACTTTTTAAATACTTTTTAAGACTTTTTAAATACTTTTTAAGACTTTTTAAATACTTTTGAATACTTTTTAAGACGTTTTAAGACTTTTTAAGACTTAAAGACTTTAAGACTTAAAGACTTTTAAAGACTTTTAAAGACTTTTAAAGACTTTTAAAGACTTTTAAAGACTTTTAAAGACTTTTAAAGACTTTTAAAGACTTTTAAAGACTTTTAAAGACTTTTAAAGACTTTTAAAGACTTTTAAAGACTTTTAAAGACTTTTAAAGACTTTTAAAGACTTTTAAAGACTTTTAAAGACCTTTAAAGACCTTTAAAGACTTTTAAAAACTTTTAAAGACTTTTAAAGAATTTTAAAGACTTTTAAAGACTTTTAAAGACTTTTAAAGATTTTTAAGTCTTTTTAAGCTTTTTTTAAGACTTTGAAAATTTAAGACTTTTTAAAATGTTAAAAAGCTTCATATTTTTGCATATTATTCTTCTTAATTCCCCTATTTGAATAAAAACACCCAAAAGATAGTCTTTTAGACATTTTGAAATTTAGAATTTTGTCGTTCAACATTTTTTTTTTTTTTTTTTAAACTGCTCAATATTTTTAACGCGTACTGTTTTATTTTTCCGTGATTTTTTTATTCACCTTAATTACAATAACCATATATTTTGCGTAACTCGTTACAACCAAAAACTAATCGCATGTGTTGCTGTAACCATAATGTCACCAGGAAGACCAATAACATGTCAACGTAACGCATGGAAGTGTTTGGATAAGTTGAAATGTCTAACAATCAGTAAAGTTTGCGATGGGATCTATGATTGTCAAGATCATAGCGACGAAAAGTTTTGCTCTAACGGTTCTAAAGCAGCGTATACCCCCGAAATAGAAGTTATGACAGCAGGTAAATTGAAAAAAAAATTTGACGGGAAGGCTTTTCTATGTTTGTTCTTTTAACACCAAAAATGGTACCAATAAGATTTGTTTTAATTTACAACCATTCTGTCTTACTTTAACAGATTGTTTTCTTTTTCTAGATCCACATACATTATCTACTAAGGCCGTGCTGAATTTTTTTTGATATATCTTTTTTTTTCTCAATGCAACGGATGGACAGAAAAAGAGGAATAACTTTTATTTTCAACTTTTAGATAAAATTTTATTCGTCAATAATGATTTACCTTGTGTCAAAAATAACAATAATTCAAACAGAAATAAAATATCTATTTGCATTAGTGAAATAACATTTATTTTACATTCTTGAATATGAAAACCACCCAGTTCAACACATCTTTCAGTACTGCGTAAAAATTATTTTTAAACATTTTTTATGGTATCTTGAGAAACATAATTAATCTCTTTCCTTATTTTTTCTTTTAACATTTCAACGTGATTTTCTAAATTATGATTGTAAACAAATTGTTTTAATTTAATTAATAATTATTAAAAATCCAACCGATGAATTGATTTAATTGACAATTTGTGATTAAAAAATATTTGCATATTTGTTATTACATTTTTGTCATTATTTCTCTAGAATAAAGAGATATGCAACGTCTTATTTTTATTGGTTTCGACACAAGCAAAAACTTTTATAAAGAATAACATTTTTTCTAAAAGTTGAAAATAAAAAAGTTATCCACTTTATCAGTCTACCAGGGGACACCCTGTATAATTTTTTAATCCATTTCTGTAAAATTATAAAGCAATGCATTCATGAATACTATCCAATAAAGCATTCATGAATATTATCCAATAAATTTATAGTTTCTCATTTGACTGCAAAAACTAGCACGTCATCTTTTACTTGCTATTTGCAGTTTGGCACAGGGGAGGGGGGTATACAACATTTACTATTTTCCGATGGTGGGAGCTGTCGTGTGAAATTTCAAATTCAAAGTAAAGTTGCCTATTTCGATTTTTTACAGTTTGTAAAAACTTTTTACGTTTTGTAAATTTTTTTAGACTTTTTAGTTTCGTTTTTAGTCTTTTTTATACTTTAAGAGTATTTTATGCTTTTTATTATTATATTGCTTGAACTAGAGTTTCTTATACTGTTTTATACCTTTAAATTTTTAGACTTGACTTTTAGACTTTTAGAGACTTTTAGAGACTTTTAAAGACTTTTAGAGACTTTTAAAGACTTTTAGAGACTTTTAGAGACTTTTAAAGACTTTTAGAGTCTTTAGAGACTTTTAGAGACTTTTAGAGACTTATAGAGACTTTTAGAGACTTTTAGAGACTTTTAGAGACTTTTAGAGACTTTTAGAGACTTTTAGATACTTTTAGGGACTTTTAGGGACTTTTAGAGACGTTTAGAGACTTTTAGAGACGTTTAGAGACTTTTAGAGACGTTTAGAGACTTTTAGAGACTTTTAAACTTTTAGAGACTTTTAGATACTTTTAGAGACTTTTAGAGACTTTTAGATACTTTTAGAGACTTTTAGAGACTTTTAGAGACTTTTAGAGACTTTTAGAGACTTTTAGAGACTTTTAGAGACTTTTAGAGACTTTTAGAGACTTTTAGAGACTTTTAGAGACTTTTAGACTTTGACTTTTAGACTTTGACTTTTAGACTTTGACTTTTAGACTTTGACTTTTAGACTTTGACTTTTAGACTTTGACTTTTAGACTTTGACTTTTAGACTTTGACTTTTAGACTTTGACTTTTAGACTTTGACTTTTAGACTTTGACTTTTAGACTTTGACTTTTAGACTTTGACTTTTAGGCTTTGACTTTTAGACTTTGACTTTTAGACTTTGACTTTTAGACTTTGACTTTTAGACTTTGACTTTTAGACTTTGACTTTTAGACTTTGACTTTTAGACTTTGACTTTTAGACTTTGACTTTTAGACTTTGACTTTTAGACTTTGACTTTTAGACTTTGACTTTTAGACTTTGACTTTTAGACTTTGACTTTTAGACTTTGACTTTTAGACTTTGACTTTTAGACTTTGACTTTTAGACTTTGACTTTTAGACTTTGACTTTTAGACTTTGACTTTTAGACTTTGACTTTTAGACTTTGACTTTTAGACTTTGACTTTTAGACTTTGACTTTTAGACTTTGACTTTTAGACTTTGACTTTTAGACTTTGACTTTTAGACTTTGATTTTTAGACTTTGACTTTTAGACTTTGACTTTTAGACTTTGACTTTTAGACTTTGACTTTTAGACTTTGACTTTTAGACTTTGACTTTTAGACTTTGACTTTTAGACTTTGACTTTTAGACTTTGACTTTTAGACTTTGACTTTTAGACTTTGACTTTTAGACTTTGACTTTTAGACTTTGACTTTTAGACTTTGACTTTTAGACTTTGACTTTTAGACTTTGACTTTTAGACTTTTAGACTTTTAGACTTTGACTTTTAGACTTTGACTTTTAGGACTTTGACTTTTAGACTTTGACTTTTAGACTTTGACTTTTAGACTTTTAGACTTTTAGACTTTTAGACTTTTAGACTTTGAGACTTTCAGACTTTCAGACTTTCAGATTTTCAGACTTTCAGACTTTCAGACTTTTAGACTTTGCAAACGTGCAGGTATTTTTAATTAATTTTAATTTTTTTTTTTAAGACAATTAATAGTTACTTTTTTGGAATTTTTAGACCTCTATCATTTGTAGACTTTCAAAGATTTTTTTTTGCATTTTTTTACTAAAAACATTTTGGATTGTCAACTTATTTTATAACTTTTTCAGACGTTTTTACACTTATTTAGACTTTTATTATGCCTGTTTGTACTTTTTACATTTTTTGATATTTTTAGTTTTACATAGTTTAGACTTATTTTTGTATCTTTTTAGAATTTGACAAATATTAATGACCCATCTTAAATATAGCAAGAAAAAGTATATAGACTTTAAATACAAATTTTCATGCTACTTTTTAATTGCTGAATATTTTATTATAACGAGAAATAATTTAAAAAATAATTCGTGACTACAGCAGTTTTGTTGAATCTAAAAAAATTCAGTATGTTCCACATAAAACTATTGATAAAATTTATCAGAACTTTTCCTATCTTATTGAAAAATGTTTAACTAATTTATATTTTAACAAATCCGTTTTCAAGAGCTTTATATAAATTATCTCTTTTAATCATACAATAAGAATTTTCTTTAAATTTTCTTAGTGCCCATTGATGAAGAAGCTTTAATCCTGTCTGTCACCTTTTACAAAAAATATTCTTGATTGGTGATGAATGATAAACTAAAACGACCTTCTGCACGAATGAAAAATAGCTTTAAATATGAAGTAATTAACCCTAATACTCACAGTTTAATTACTGTACATGTAAATATTATTTAAACCTTTTGTGTTTGCATTATGCTTGGTTTAAACTAACAGAAAAATGTACATAGAGGAATGAGAATGACAAATTGAATGCAGTTTGAGTAAGCAATTTAGGTTGCTAGAAATGACTAACAACGTGAAAGAATTGGACAAAAAATTTGTTTGTCTTTGTATTGCTATTTTTTTCAAACGAAAACAAATTGTATTTCGATATCTTTATTATTAACGAAGTTAAGGGCAGGGCATTACTTTTTCGTGAGACACTTTGTATGGTAAGATTTTAGTCTACATATAAATCTTTGTAGTATAAATTCCATAACTTATTTTTATCATACTGAACAATTTTCATGATAAATTGATCTGTTGAATTCGATATAGAAATATTTCCGTAATTAAAGAAGATTTTAGAAGGCTACAACCAAAGACATAAATACTGCCAAATGGATTTTATAATAAATCAATCAATAATCGTAATTTTTTACAAAACAGAAGTTTTGTTAATAACATTAGTCTCTATAAATTTTGAAACCTCTAATCTTTGTTACGTGTTGAACAAAAATGGCAATATTGAACAATCAAAATATTTCGTACAACCATCAGTCATGGAAAACCTTGAGTATTTTAAAATAGGTCATAGATGTCGCCAGGACGAATTCGAATGTAGCGAAGGATACTGTATCGAAGCTTACAAACAATGTAACGGTTATCCTGATTGTCCAAGTGGTAGTGATGAAGATAATTGTCCAACAACAGAACCGCCATATCCTGGTACGTTGTTTTCGAATATTGAGATCTTGTATCTGGGAAGCCAGTGACTAACAATTTGATAATAATCCTGGAATATTTAGTATGTTATATATAGAATATGCGTTGTTTGATGTACGTATGTGTGTCTATTGACTGAATGATTTGAGACTATAATACTGATATATTATGAGGTTTTACTAACATTGGATGTACAGCAACCTAGAATAACTTAATTCGTTCTTTCTTCTATGATATGCTGAAATATTTGTATGATAATAAAATACGAGATTTAAAAATCCAAATTGTTCTAAATTGATATTTGTAAACATATCACCTGGTATAGATTTGGTAAAGTAAGCATAATGTATCACCACTACTCTGTAACAGAATTTGAAATATGAACTTGTAAGTCAAATTGTAGCAATATTTTTGATAAGTAATAATATCTTTATATTCTTCATATTTATTTGCCAATTATTATTGATGTTGCGGCATGGGTATGAGGTTTCTATCAAAACCAGGTCCCAGCAACCTTCCAAATATATTACTTATTAATCAAAGCTGCTACAGAGTTACAAAGTATACTTTTTATAATCATCGTTGAAAATGTAGAGATTTGTCAAGACATATGAGACAGGGTATCGTCTCAATTTTGTTAGGAGTTATTACATATTTTTTGATAGATCTCTACCTTTTAAAATACTAATAATTATGTAGTATTTCGTCTATTTTACTAATAATAGAGGGTACAGAGGAACTAACCAATTTTTATTCTAATTCTAATTTTTTAATTATTTGAGGTATAATTTTTTTTTATTGCTTAGTGACAATTTTTCTGAGAAAATTGTAGAGCTTATTTGAAAATATTTCTGCGATCTAAATATATCCTAAAGTCTGTTAGGAACAATTGTACGAGTGTTGATCCCCCTGCAATATTTACAGTAATATGTCATATTTAAATTTGTGACACTTTAACACTGACCATGTATGTTATATCTGTAATATGTTTGTAATATGCTATCGAATATCCATTATTGCCGTCGAAAGGGCGTGGTTAAACCAATTACCCTCTTTATGGATCTCACGACCAAATATAATTAAGCGTTTCTTCTTTATTTTGCTTGGTGTGTCAGTTAACGTACTGTATATGTATAATAAGCATTTATAAATAAAAACACAAGGAAATGTTAAAATCTGATATTTTTAAAAATATAGATTTACATAAATCACAAAGTTTTATATCTAAAATCAAAAGGATAATTCGATTTTGTAAACCTACATAGATATTAACATTCTACCTAGTAAGAACACTGCAAAAAACTTAAAACCACCAATAACAGTTCATATTTTGCTCACCCGGTTAATATTATTTTTTAAAATTTTATATAAGTGACAATTCTGTTAAACTAATTTTCAGTATATTTTTTAGTTATTAAGATTAAATATACGTAAAAATCAGTTATTTCTGTGTAGAATCGATAAATAGTAGCAAATAAATCATACATTTTAATTAAATTATATAAAGTTAATTTGATTAAAACTAAAATGGTAAGTGTCTCCATAGAGATGATTCCAGGGCGTTTGGATGCTCTGGGAGAGGCCAGGGTTCAAATCTGGGCTAGAGACTAATTAAACCAAATCGTTTTTTATGTTTATTTTATTGTATAAATTAGTAAAAGTCATAAATTGTTTTAAAAATTTGTTATTTTGTCTTAATAACAAAATAATTTTTTAAACTTATATATTTTTCGTTACTAGGTAGTAGAAAAAATATACTGTTGCACAAACTACTATTTTGAGATATTAACAAGGATTCCAACTGGTAAAACATCCACATTATCATCAGATTTGGCTTCTAGAGACCACAGACTGTTCCAGAAGCTGAAACAACATTTATGTGAAAGAATAATTTTTAAGTGACGATGATGTTTTGTCAGCGCTAAATAACAAAGAGATTAAGAAAAACTTTATATTTCGTGGAAATTTTACTTGAAAAAAAAAATTATTTTGCTAACATACAATGAAAATGTGAATATGAAAATAAAATAGAAAAGTTTCATATTTAATTACAATAATTCTAAGTAAACAAAGTAAAACTAAATCAGAGATTTGAGCTGGACATAGGTCATTGTAAATTTCAAAATACATAATAAGAATTCTTTTACGCTAAATTAATTGTAATAACATTTATTAGTTATTTCAATTTGATTTTGCATTATTCCACCTGTTACTACGACAAATCGTGAAAGACAAGTGAATAGTGTCAAATGACAACTGCTGACAAGACGAGTGTCAGTTATATCAAATGAGAATAGGGGTAAAGTAAAACAGCAGTGGGATTCTCATCTTTCAATTCGGCACGTATTGAGACGCCTATCTTCGTTCGACAGTATGCGAGTCTGATGTAATGTCTCTCTCTATTCTATTCGTTACGTATTGAGTTTTGAGTTTGCACATAAGAATCCCTGTCCAGTTTACTCTAGAATAATTCAAATAATATCGAAATGTGAGGTTAATTTTACCAATTTAACAGAAAATTGTTATTTTTTTGATTTTCTATGTTCAAAGACACACTAATATAGGTGTAATTGTTATGGATATTAAACAAGAGAATTGGATTATTTATAAAGATTAAATAAGAGATTTTGACCTTTCTTGTTTCCATAGACCTAGAAGGTAACCTTCCCCAAGATAATACACTCACTAATCAACAGGAAGGTTCCACAGATGGTAAGTGGGTGGATACATAACATGCTCTCAAACAGGCAGTAAACAAAAGAGATGTGAATATAAAAGGCTTATTTGCAAGGGGATTTCCATAGGAAGGAGTATTATCACCTCTACTGTACAACATGGTTCTCGCCACTCTCATCAGCCGCCTCAATGATAGCAATCTCTACAAAATAGCGTATGCAGATAAATAACTTGGTATTTCTGCAAACAGGGAAAAAAAGCAAGTAGCTCTCAAAACTAATAATGTTGTAAGGAACATCCACTGTCTATTAATTCCAAGAAGACAGAAATATTCCTTTTCGCAAGAAAAGTGATGACAAAGGAAGAAAACCTCCAAAGCTCTTTAACACAAATCTAAACTTTGCAACAGAGGTGAACTGTCTAGGTCCGACCTTTGACAGCAAGTTAACAGGGAACTCAAACCTAGTAAACATAGTCAAAAAATCATACATTGCTTATGAACAATGCTGCCGAATCGTAGGGCGCACCTGGGATCACATGGACTTACGTCTCCATACGGTGCAATTGTCTGGGTACCAAAAAACTAACAATTGACAGCTATTCGCAAACTACAACAAATTCAGAGAACATCATGTCATCATAACAAGAGCTATGAAAACTACATCAACCAGAGTCAGGGAAGTCATTCGTAGTCTCACTCCCCTTAATATTTACATCAAGAACGTTGCTAGGATGACAATAACATGGTTTCGCATGGTTAGAATAAAACGTTATATAGAGTCTGGTGAGACGAGACGTCGCTTTTGGCTGGATGGGCTCGATAAGCTTCCATATTTCATATCTACACTGACTGTTTTAAAACAAGTATTAGAAATTAAAAATTAAAAAAAACCGACTTCAAAAACGTGCAGATGCCATCACCACATCTCAACCAAATGTATATGGGACCATCCCTGAGGTACTCCCTTATTATAAAAAAAAAGAATCATATAAATCGGACAAGGTGGTAAAGCATTATCGCTAAATATACATAAAAATGCAAGAGTTTGAGGATTTTCTCATGGATCCAATTATTAGATTTTAACCAAATTTATGTGGGACCATCCCTAAAGTATTCCCTTTCTAACAAAAAAAGAATCATTAAAATCGGACACCGTGTTAATAACCTCCTCCTTTTTTGAAGCCGGTTAATAAAACAAGGCTCAGGATGTGGAATATACTGCAGATCTTTAAACCTAAACATAAAGGCTGTGAGCAATAGTGTCATTGTAGTTCCAACCGAGCTGACGGGGATTGTCAGCAGTCAAAAAATTATCAGAAACAATATCATCGGAAGGAATATACTCATCTGTACAGATAGCAGACAGTCACTACTCCTCCTCCTAGATATAACACGAATTTACTCAGGGATAGTACAAGAAAGTCACAAAGCTTTGGTCGAATAATTCATCAACAATGTGGTCAAATCAAATAGTAACCGTTTGCTGATTTACTACCCAAGAAGGCAACAAAACAAATACATTTTGGATCTGGCCCTTTCATTGGACTGACACCAATATGGTGGGCGATCTGCCTGCTGATTGCTCCGATCAAAAAGGCGAAAAAATATGTAGGTAGTATTATAAAAAGTGCTAACGAAAAATGTAGTTTTATATTACCTATTCAAACTGTTTTTAACTACAAGAAGAGATTGGAAACGTAAGTCATGTTCAACACAGAGATTCTTAAGTGCGAACTCGACACGTTACGTATTGAGTAGAGGGACAGACATTACATAAGAATCTCAGTTTGTCGAAGAAAGATAGGAGTGGCGACATATTATGTATTGAGAGACGAGAATCCCACTGCAGATCTTGCTAACACAAATATAATAGATGATCTTATTTCACTCAAATACCGAGTATCTTACTTAAAACGTAAAAATAAACTGTGAATAAATAATTCACATTTACTAGTTAGAAAAAAATTCATTTTGTTAGACATACAAAAGAAAGTAATAAAGTAGCATTAAAAAGGAAAATAAAACAACGTATGATTTCAATATATATATTATTAAAACAATATTAAAAATTCACACAACAAAGGTTCTACGATAAAACTGAAATGCGTAAGATACTTACTTTACGGAATTTCTGGGAAAATAGTGCATCCTCGATACTTCATCTTCACTGCAACTACAAATTAAAGAAAATGTTCGTTCCTTCGGGTTTGTAAACAAATTTAAAAGTACCTAATATGAAAACAATAAACTAATAACGAATGAAAAACAACCAAAAAACGAATTTACAATATATATAAAACGACACCAAACACAGCAGTAACAAATA